TCAGAATAATAGAATGTTAGAGTTGGAAGGGACCTTGCAGGTCATCTAGTCCAACCCCCTGCACTCTGTAGGTGCGTAGCCGAAAGATAGCCCTACAACACACCCGAAAGATGGTTGTCCAGCCTCCGCTTGAAAAGCATCCAGTGAAGGAGCATCCACCACCTCCTTAGGCAGTCTGTTCCACTGTTCAACCACTCTTACAGTTAGGAAGTTTCTCCTGATATTTAGCCGGTAACTACTCCCTTGTAATTTCCACCCATTAGATCTAGTCTTGCAATCCGGAGCAAGAGAGAATAGATCTGTTCCATCTTCTACAGGACAGCCCTTCAAATATTTGAAGACTGCAATCATGTCCCCTCTAAGCCTTCTCTTTCCCAGGCTAAATCCCCCCCCCCGCCTCAGAATGGGAGCCTCAGGACACAGGCCATTACCACCAAGCGACAATCGCCACCCACATGGGCTCAGGACGGGTGAATGTGTGGCCTGCGACCACAGCTGATAGGGTAGGGTAAGTGATGACTAACTTATTTGCGAACACGATTAAGCACATGAGAACTCTGTTACATGCTGTGTGTGATCCACCCTGAGTCCCTGTGAGAAAGGTGGACTATATAAATAACATAAAATAAATACATAAATATTTGTAAACTTCAGCATAAAACATCCTTCTTCTCTAATAATAACTAATAATAATATATTAGTTTATATACGGAAAGGAGGAAGAGAAGTACAGAAATATTTTAAAATTCCAATTTAGCATTCTGCATGCATATCTTCTCATTACAATTCCACAACTACTTCTATCTTATTATTCTTCACTTAATTTTATTTTCTTAATACTTAAGTTTTAACTAGTCATAGAATGCCCTCCAGGGTCCCATAAATTCTTCTTCCATTTTCCCTTTTAATATATTTGTCAGCTTGTCCATTTCAGCACATTCCATGATCTTCAATATCAGCTCATGTAGCGTTGGAATCTTCAATGTCCTCCATGCCTTTGCAATAAAATTCTGGCAGCTCTTATAACATGTAAATAAAATATCTGTGATTCTTATCTAACTCATCTGGTAGACAATTTAACAAAAATATCTCCGCCTTAAAAGGTATTTTGATACTTAGGATTAACTATAAGAAAGTATGCATTTCAATCCAGAATTTATGAACCTTTTTACATGTTCACCACATATGGTAATATGACCCAATATGGTTATTACATTTCCAACACATATTACTGAAGTTAGATGCCATCTATAGAACATTTTATAAGTTTTCTTTGAACAAAACAGATTTAGTCAACTTAATATTCACTTTTCATATTTTACTTCACTGTGACCGATGTTATAACCAGTGTTCCCTCTAAGTTGAGTTAGTGTGAGCTCACAACTTTAAGGCCAGTAGCTCACAAAGTTGAATTTTTGCTCACAAGACTCCACAGCTTACAGGGAGCATTGGTTATAACCCACATTTTGCATCCATCTAACCATACATTCTTTAACTGTTTTGTCCTGCATTTTCAATTGCATCAGCAGTTTAAAACATTCATTTAAGTACAATAAATAATAAAATACAATAAAAGCCATCAGCTATCACACAATCGATGGCATCGATTCTCCGGGGGGGGGGTGAATGTCAAAAAACTAAAAAATGCCTGATAAGAAAGAGGGGGAGGGGGGAGCAGGGGACATGAGGGGGGAGGGCCAGTCCTGATAGAAAGCCCTCAACCGTATGCCTGGAAGAACATCACTGTTTTATAGGCCCTGTGGGACTGCATCAAGTCCCACGGGGCCAGGATCTCACTTGGAAGAGTGTGCCACCAGGTTGACGATTAGATTTTATAGTAGAGAGCCAGTTTGGTGTAGTGGTTAAGTGTGCGGACTCTAATCTGGCAGAACTGGGTTTGATTCCCCACTCCTCCACTTGCACCTGCTGATGTGACCTTGGGTCAGTCACAAGCTCTGGCACAGCTGTTCCTGAAAGAGCAGTTTGTGTCAGAGTTCTCTCAGCCCCACCCACCTCACAGGGTGTCTGTTGTGGGGAGGGGAAGGGAAAGGAGTTTGTAAGCCGCTCTGAGACTCCAAGTGAAGGGCGGGGTATAAATCCAATCTCTTCTCTTCTTCTATCTATCTCCTGCCAGCCTAGCAGTTCGGAAGCGAGAAATTGCAAGTAGATAAATAGGTACCGCTTCGGTGGGAAGGTAACAGCGTTCCGTGCGCCTCAGCGTCTAGTGATGCCGGCCACATGGCCACGGAAACGTCTTTGGACAGTGCTGGCTCTTCGGCTTGGAAACGGAGATGAGTACCGCAACCCTAGAATCGGACTCGACTGGCTTTCGAGCAAGGGAAACCTTTACCATAAAAACCTATACTATCTATACTGTACTTCCCTGAATAAAGGACTCTTATTAGTTTGAAACTCTGTAACTTTACTAGCACACCCAGTAAGGGAGCAGCTGCTGCAGCATGTAAGCCTCGTGCACTTTGCTGCCTAATAGAGATTTCCTGGCTCTACCATAGCAGTGAGTCTAACACAACTGACAACAAAATTGAGTACCAAGGCCTGCTGCACCATACTCCTAACTACACTACAGCCCAGCATAGCACTGAGGGAGAAACATACAAATTCCCTCTCTCCGGTGCCTTAAACAGGAAGCCAGGAAGAAACAGTGCAGCTTGGAGCCGCTGAATTGGCTGGATAGGGAGAAGTTCAGGTGCTGCCTTTCCAGTCTGGCCTGGGGTCTTTCCACAGGTGGCACGCTTTTCTCCACCTATCAGTGCCAGGCAGACGGACCCAAGATCACCCCCTTCCACTTCCTCCAACTCAAACAAAAGGACTCCGGCAGAGCCTTCCAGACTAAGGCCTGGTTCACACCGGCAGGAGGAGGAGGAGGTGCGCCAGAAGTTACTGCACAGATCGCTGAATTCTTGTCCAAGATGTCGGCAGCAAGGAACCAAGATGTGCAGGTGTGATGTTATCTTATTGAAGAAGCTTTACTTTGTTGTTTTATGTGCCAATAAAGGTGTTGTATTGTATTGAGATCACCCCCTTGTATTGTATTGAGATCATCCTAGTGTCCCCACCCCACTGGTGGACCTCCTGAGGGCCCCTGGTATTTCTGGCCACTGTGTGAGACAGAGTGTTGGACTGGATGGACCATGGGCCTGATCCAACACTGGCTTCTCTCACGTTCTTATGTCTGGGGCAAGGGATGCTCTGTCTTCTTGGTGCCTGGGGGGAGGGCAACAGTGGGAGGGGCTTCTAGTGTCCTCCTGGCCCCACTGCCGGACCTCCTGAGGGCACCGGGTACTTTTGGCCCCTGTGTGACAGACAGGGCGTTGGGCCGGAGGGGCCATTTGGCCTGACCCAACGCGGGCTTCTCTCACGTTCTCTTATATTCTGAGGAGTTGGTGGAGGTGCAGAACGAAGGAGGTACCCCCAAGCATGCCCAGCGTCCCACTTTGGGATGGTGCATTTTGCACAAGGCACCGCCGAGCTGAGCCGCGCCGCCTCCCGTGGGCCGTGCGGCATTCGGACGTGACGCGTGTGGAGCGCGGGGAGGGGGGGTCCCTCTCCCTCCCTCCCTCCCTCCCTCCCTCCCGCTGCGCGCATGCGGCCTCTCCGGCGCGCCCCTCGGCG